GCTCACAGCAACCTCCAACTCCTGGGCTCAAGCGAGTCTCCTGCCTTAGGCTCCCAAGTAGCTGGGACCACAAGCGCCCGCCACAACGTCCAGCTATTTTTTGGTTGCAGCCATCGTTGTTTGGCAGGCCGGGGCTGGATTTGAACCTGTCACCTTAGGTGTATGTGGCTGGCTCCTTAGCCACTTGAGCCATAGGCACGGAGCCAATGTTAGGGAATTTCTAACATTACCTGGAAGTTCTTTGCTTCCTTTATTTCCTCTCCTTGCTTCCATGAATTAGCTTTAATGTAATCAGTAATGAGTTCCTCACTGCACTCTTCTGCTATTAGGAACTGGTTCGGTAGTGAAGAAAATCTGATAGAAGCAAATGTTCTTTGCATAGAGAACTAGCCCCACCTGCACTTTGACCTTTGGACTGATTCTGTTCCCAATGCATTGGTGCTCTCTGGTGACTTGGGAGGCCCATAGTACTATGTAAAGTATGAGGTATTCTAGAACAATTTTGTTTGGGGTTTTTTTTTGCAGTTTTTGGCTGGGGCTGGGTTTGAACCCACCACCTCCAGTATATGGGGCCGGTGCCCTACTCCTTTGAGCCACAGGTGCCGCCCCCTAGAACAATTTTGTTGTCCCAGGTGGTTAGATCTTGGCAGGGTCAGGTCCTTTTTTGTTTCTGATATATTTGTGCTAAAGTGTTAGCATGTTATAACATGGGCAACTAGAAATGAGGGTTTTCATAAGTGGATGAAAGGTTTTCTATGTGTCCCTAAAAGGGGTTTATTTATTTATTTATTTTGAGACAGAGTCTCACTACATCACCCTTGGTAGAGTGCTGTGCTGTCAACAGCTCACAGCAACATCCAACTCTTAGGCTTAAGCAATTCTCTTGCCTCCGCCTCCCAAGTAGCTGGGACTATAGGTTCCTGCCACAAAACCCAGCTATTTTTTGTTGTAGTTGTCATCGTTTAGCTGGCCCCAGCTGGGTTTGAACCCACCAGCCTCAGTGCATGTGGCCAACACCCTACCCACTGATCTAAGGACTCTGCCTAAAAGGGGGGTTTATTTATTTATTTTTTTTAGAGACAGAGTCTCACTTTATCCCCCTCAGTAGAGTGCAGTGGCATTACAGCTCACAGCAACCTCCAGCTCTTGAGCTTAGGCAATTCTCTTGCTTCAGCCTCCTGAGTAGCTGGGACTACAGGCGCTCACCACAACACCCAGCTATTTTTTTTTTTTTTGCAGTTTGACCGGGTTGGGTTTGAACCCACCACCCTTGGTATATGGGGCCAGTGCCCTACTCACTGAGCCACAGGCACCGCCCAAAAGGGGGTTTTTACATTTGCCCCTGACTGCCAAAGTTTTGTGATATATGGAGAGTTGGTCTTAATGATTTTGAACACTTTTCTAGTTTAATAAAAGTTACATCCTCTGTGGTACAAAATTGGAAACTTGGCTCGGCGCCTGTGGCTCAAGCTGCTAAGGTGCCAGCCACATACACCTGAGCTGGTGGGTTCAAATCCAGCAGGGGCCCGCCAAATAACAATGAGGGCTGCAAGTAAAAAACAGCTGGGCATTGTGGCGGGTGCCTGTAGTCCCAGCTACATGGGAGGTGGAGGCAGGAGAATGGCTTGAGCCCAGGAGTTGGAGGTTGCTGTGAGCTGTGATGCCAAAGCACTCTACCCATGGTGACAGCTTGAGGCTCTGTCTCAAAAAAAAAAAAAAAATTGGAAACTTGATGTTTGTGTTTGGAAAATGTTTTCTTATGATTTATAGACTCATTTGTTCCACTCTTTAGACTGTTACTAGGATGTTAATTAGTCCAAGTTAAAGATTATTTCTCATTCTTTAATCTTTGCTAGTGATACTATTGATGCCAACTCATTCCTATCTTAGTTTGTAAAAAATAAACTTGTATTTTACTGGGTAGGAGCTCTGACGTCATGTTTCCATTCATTCAGTGAATATTTATTCAGTGTGCCAGCCCCATTGCCGGGGAATCCAGAATTTAGTTTCTATTGGGAGTGATGAGAAAGCTAAAAATTACTAACGGGCTAAAAGTGGTGGCTCATGCCTGTATTTCTAGTACTCTGGAAGTCTGAAATGGGAGGATCACTTGAACTCAGGAGTTCCAGACCAGCCTAAGCAAGAGTGAGACCCTGTCTCTACTAAAAATAGAAAAGTTAGTTGGGCATGGTGGCAGGCACCTGTAGTCCCAGCTACTCGGGAGCTGAGGCAGGAGGATCCCTTGAGCTCAGGAATTTTTTTTTTTAATTTTTCTTTTCTTTTATTTCTTTTTTTTTGAGACAGACCCTCAAGCTATCCCCCTGGGTAGAGTGCTATGGCATCATAGCTCACAGCAACCTCCAATTCCTGGGCTCAAGCGAGTCTCCTGCCTCAGACTCCCAAGTAGCTGGGACCACAG